GTAGGCCAGGTGTGAGCAGGTGACACCTGCCAGCTCCCCTGTGTGACAGGCTGGCTCACAGTCTCAGACCATCCCTCCAGTCACAAATGATACTGGAAGGAGGGAAGGGGGATTGCTTTTTCCCCAGTGGGGAAGTGGGGAGGGGAAAGTACATTGCAAACAAAAATGTGACTCAGTGGGATAAAACAAGGCCCGTGTCAGCTGGGCCCCCGTCGAATAACAAACCAGCAGCTCTTAGCAGTCAGCACTGTTCTTCTGGGCACCCCTGAGGTTTTGGTCCGTTGTACTCTTGTACCTGTTCCCTTGATGTCTGTGTGTCGGGAATGCGTTCAGACATGATGTACATCTGATATATTCCCGTGAAATAAGCTGCCAGCAAACTTTCTAACTTGTATTTTAACTGTTGGAAAAACAAACAAACAAGCAAAAAAAACCCTTTTGCTTAGGTCATGTCCAAATTATGGACTGTTTATTATTTTAGAAATCATTCTTTACATTTAAAATTTTACAAGAAAAACCCTGAGGTATTGATCAAGTCCTCCGTGTAAATGTGTGCTCTTCTCTCCATGCTGCTGTTCAGCCAAATCAAAAGCTGTGGGGAAAAAAAAAATAAATGTGCTTGAGAATGTGTGTCCTAGATGAGAAGGCAACTTATTTCCAGATCAAAGTCTTTGTTTCATGAAGCTACCAAACTTTAAAAAGAATGTCACCTTTTTTTTTTTTGCTTTGTTATGGAACCCAGAGATTATAAAGAGAAAAAAGTTCTTGTTGCATTTTTGATGCTGGCATGAGGTTTTTGTCCACTTTTCTTTCATATATCTGCGTATAAAAAATTCTGTCCATTGTGTACTATGGGATTAGTATTACATTTCAAGGTAAACAAAAGAATTTGTATTGCTTGATAAACTATTAGCTTGTAAATTTAAAACAGGTTTCTTTACCTCAATTAACTTAAAGTAATGGACCAATAAACCTATAAAAGACGCTTTCTTTACCTTGAGTCACGTTCCGTTTGTACGGCTTTATAGGACAGGGAAACATGCGTGCCTCTTGTTATTTTCTCTGAAGAGGTATCCATTTGCCTGCAAGAATCAGGATATGCATAGCGACAGGAAAAAAACCTATAATTTAACTGTTTTTATTCTTCATTTCTTTTTGGACTTGTCCTCAGTTTGCCCTCTCCTACATCTTACAAGGTGACACCAATCTGAGGACATGAAGAAACCACCCAATGTCCATCTGTAACCATGATTGGCAGGAAGGCTGGCAGCCAGCGCAGGTAATCACATAAAGGATTTCTTCCTATTCTATACCGTAGCAAAGCACAATGTCATATTCTGAGAGCCAGTCATTTCCTGATTTTTTTTTTTTTTTTGGTTCCTACGTTTTAAAAAAATCTGTAAAGAAAGAAGAAATGTCTGTAGCTCATTAGAGCGTGCAAGTGCGTTGTAAATTAGAGACCAGAATGCTCAGTTAAGCTTACCTAATGATGGCAATGCACTGGAAATGGACTTAAACTGGTGCTAAACTTGGCTTACGGATAGTAGACACCATTAATATAAGACTTCAGTTATACAAAATGAGGCAGCAAGGTGTGGGATAAGAGATTTGGGATCAAATGTCAGCTTTTCTACTTTCTAGGTATGTGGCTTTGGGCAAGTCACATCTCTCTGAAATTCAGTATTATGATCTTTGAAATGAAGACATGCCTTTCCTGAAAGGTTGCCGATAGGACTAGCAATAATGTATACAAAGCACCTAAGGGTCTGCTGGGCCCACATTATGTGATAACCCTTATGGAAAGACTTGCCCTATTGTTCAAATATGGCCAACTTAAATATCAAGGATGTTCCCATAACAGTCCTTCCTGTGTGCTTTGCCAGTTGAAAATTTAAAAGGGAGATATATCATTTTTTAAACTGTTTTCCTTTCAAGAAGATTATGAAAATAGTATGCTGGAGGATTGTAGTCAGACTGAAGGTCTGGGGAATAGATGGGACTAGATCATAAAAAGAAGTGATAGAAAGGGGGATGGATTTCTGTGGTGAGGGGAAGGGGTCAGAGATTACTTGGAGATTTCCAGCCTGGGAGCTGGGAGGTGATGCCGTTTACTGAAATATGAAATCAATCAAGAGGAAAACAGAAGGTGAAGGATAGGCTTAGATGGTGGGGTAGGAGAAGAATTTGGTTTGGACTTACGTTTGAGGAAACCCAGGGGGAGGTGTTGACTAGATTGTTGGAAAGAGAGTTCTGGTAGACTAGATTACCTGGGAAGGGAACCAAGGGCAGGGCTTTGGGGGCCTCAAGAATTAAGGATGCAGGGAGAGGAGGAGGGGGACTCAGCAAAAGTTCGTAAGGAGAAAAAGGCCCATAGCTTAGAACAGCGGTTCCTAAGCCTGAGAGCTTGTGAAAACACCAATTTTGGGGCCCCAGCCCCAGAGTTTGATTTGGGTAGGGCCTGAGAATTCGCATTTCTAATAGGTTCCCATGGGACGCTGATGATGCTGATCCAGGAACCACACTTCGAGAACCAATGGGTTAGAACATCTGCTAGAAGACCTGGAGAAAGCTGAGAAGGTTTGACACTACTACCCTGGTGACAGGTGGGGTTGAGAAAGAGTCAGTACTAGGGTGTTGAGAGCCCAGCTTAGGTGAAAACACCCAAGTTTATGGCAGGGTCAAGGTGGACAAATAAGGAAATTATTCTAGATGTTAAGAGCAAGTTTTTTAGGACAGGAATGGAGAAGCCAATGATCAGATTCATTTAGGTTGGGGAACCGGTTCAGGGGCTAGGGTTGGGGAGGCTAGGTAGTCCAGGGGAATGAGCATATTGGTGAGAGTTTGTTTAGCGAGGTAGAGCATGGCCTTGAACTCATCTTCCCCATCCCACCTTCTCTGCTGATGTTGCCTGTCTCAGCGAGGATCTCTGCCTCCTTAGGAAGGAGATTTGGGGTTGCCTGAACCCCAGATCTGAGTCATTCTTGCCTCCCTCTACCTCACCCTTTGCAGTCCATCCATCACCAACTTCTGTTGACCTCTAGCTTGCAAATATTTCTCCAAGTCCATCTAACCTTTCTCCATCCTCATAGCTTCTTACCCAGTGTCGGGCCACCACCATCCTTCACCTGGATTCATGCAGAGGTCTCTCTGCTTGTCTTCCTTCTGCAAGTCTTGCCCACTCCTTCCTCCACCAATTCATTCTCAGTGCTGCGGGAGTCCTCTTTCTAAGATAGAGGTAAGCATTCCATGTTCCTGCTTAAAACCTTTCAACACCTATGCCATTACTCTAAAGAGAAACTATTTTTTCCTTTTAAAAAAACTTTTTATTGAAGTGGAGTTGATTTACCATGCTGTTAATTTCTTCTGTTACGTATATTCTTTTTCATATTCTTTTCCATTACGGATTGTCACAGGGCGTTGAATATAGTTTGCTGTACTTTGCCATAGGACCTCGTTGTTTATCCATCCTCTATAATCGTTTGCCTCTGCTAATCCCAAACTACCATTCCTTCCCTCCCCCGCCTTGCCCTTGGCAACCTCAAGTCTGTTCTCTATATCCGTGAGCCTGTTTTTGTTTCATAGATATGTTGATTTGTATTGCATTTTAGATTCCACATATAAGTGATGTCACGTGGTGTTTGTCTTTCTCTGTCTGACTTACTTCGCTTAGTATGATAGTGTCTAGGGCCATCCGTGTTGCTGCAAATGGCATCATTTCATGCTTTTCAATGGCTGAGTCGTAGCCCATTGTATATATGTATATATATGTATCACATCTTCTTTATCCATTCATCTGTCAATGGACATTTAGGTTGTTTCCATGTATGGCTATTGTAGGTGGTGCTGCAGTGAACATTAGGGTGCATATATCTTTTCGAATTACGGTTTTCTCCAGATACATGCCCAGAAGTGGGATTGCAGGATCATATGGTGACTCTATTTTTAGTTTTTGAGGAATCCATACTGTTTTCCATGGCTGCACCAATTTACATTCCCACCAACAGTGTACGAGGGTTTCCCCACCCTCTCCAGCATGTGTTATTTGTAGACTTTTAAATGATGGCCATTCTGACTGGCATGAGGTGGTACCTCATTGTAGTTTTGATTTGCACTTCTAAAGAGAAACTTAAAAAAAATTTTTTTTATTGTGGTAAAAGTCACATAATATAAAACATACTATTCTACCCATATTTAACTGTACAGTTCAGTGGCACTAAGTACATTCACATTGTCGTGCAACTCTCACCATCATCCGTCTCCCGAATTTTTCACCTTCCTAAACTGAAACTGTCCCCTTTAAACACTGACTCCCCATTCCGCCTCCCCACCCCACCACCTGCTGGCATACCAGTGTACTTTCTGACTCTATGAATTTGACTATTCTAGGTATAAAGAGACTTTTTAAAGGCTCTGTCTTGATGTCGCACCTCCTCACTGTTCCAATCTCACCTCTTGATTCCATTGCCCTGGATACCTCTCCCTCCGTCCCTCTTTTCTCCCCTCACGTTGATTTCGTATATTTGGGGATATTTTCACCTTCAGGCCTTCCAGCGTGTTCTTTCTGCCTGGAACGTCCCTCAGCGTCCCACCTTGATAACTCCTTATCTTTCCAGTCTTATGCCACTTCTTCTGAGAAGCCCTCCCTGCGCTCTTGTATCAGCATTATATGCTCCCTTATGTTAGCGTTTACTATAGGATACATCGTTGTTGCCTCCTGTTCTGTCTGCTCCACCCATTCGATAATACACTGGTAGGGCAGGAGCTGTCGTGTTCTTGCTGCATCTCAGCACCTAGCACGGTGCCGGGACCTTAGTAGATGTGCCATAAAGTTTTGACCAGTCCCTGCAAGGGATCAGCGATACAACTCTGAGCCCAAATGCTCTGAGATTTAAATGCTAGCTTTTAAGCATTTGCAAGCTTTAAGTTTAACCCTAGTCTAAGAATGCTATGTCTGAGCTCTAGTGGGAACCTGACCAAAGAAAGAATGATTCACACACTCATGCTGTGAATGTTGATTTTATTAGTAGGTGAGTCTTTTATACACATAATTAAAATAGGCTGTAAAAATAAGTACCTCAAAATAAAATGGCTCTTAGTAATATCACCCCACTCCGTTTACACCTCCCACTTTGGGAAATACTGTTGACTGAAAGTATCCAATTGTATTCCTTTGAAGAAAGCCTTTTGATATTTGCTTCTTAAAAACAACAGTAACAGCAAAACTACCCTGAAGTCAAATGCCTGAGCTCCAGATTTCTCTGGAGTTAGTTGTTCACAGATAACAAGGCCTTCCGGGAAGAAAGCTAACAAGGCCTTCCGGGAAGAAAGCTAACTTTTTTTCAAGTTTCTATTTTTAAAATATTGACTGACGTCCACTGTTTGCAGTGCTTACAAAACATCCCTTCCCTGTTCCCCTCGGGCTGTTGAAAATGTGTGCCTTTGAGTTCTCACACAGGACTCCTGGGTGTGACTAGTTACCATATGTTGGAGCCCTCATACCAGACAGAAGCCCCTTCCATTCCTGGAAGAAAAAGGGCTTCAGTGTCTGGTATGGCTGTGTGTGCGGCCTTCATATGAAAGTTCACACTCTACTGTCTGCAAAATGCTTTTTCCCTACCCACTAGGGACCCTTGAGCCAGAGCAAGTCGCTCTGAAGCTGACTCTGGCTGGAACTCGGGTTTCTTGAGTAATGGGTAGACTTTGGGGGCCCCGGCCATTGCTGGTGTTTCCGGCTCCCGCAGTTCAGCACCTTCCTTTCTCTGCGATGTCTCCGTGCTGCAACCACGAGGCTTGCTTATAGGCCACGATGCTGTAAGAATTTACAATAGAGAATTATGAGAGAACAGCTGGACTGGGGCGGGGAGGTCTCTGGCCACCTCTGTATCACTGGTAGACTAGGAGGTTCTATCGGTTATGGCAGCAGGATGCTGTACTGCATGAAGGGAGAGGGCCCGAGGGAACTTCTCTCACTCCAGCCTCCTTCCTGTCCCATAACATCAAGAGCCCTTTGCATCTACATCTTCCTTTTCTTGGAGTCTCTTTCCATCTCACTTCTGCCCGATGATGAACTCCCATGTGGACCTCGAGATCAAGTTTTGCTCATCCCAAGCAGAATTAGCTGCATCCTCTTTTGCCTTTCCGTAGCCCTTTTCTCTCTTCCATAACTCATTACATTGTTTAGAAATATTTGGAGATAAGTGAATGCATAGGAATGAGGAGCTCTAGTTGAAATCTTAGAAGTCTTTGTGACCTTTGGCATGTCCTTCGACCTCTGGTGTCCTCTGTTTTCTCAACTGTTTTGAGCTCTAGGAACCGCACACAGTTCCTCCTGATGGATGGACCACATCTGGAGCTGCTGGATGGGGTGTGAACATAAATCCAAACCCTTCTAAGGACAAGCTTTGTGGAAACTTCCAAACACTGATTCCCCACCTTCCATGAGCCCCAGGGCTCTCCATGGGGGAGCACTTACTGTACTTAGAGCTCATGGTATGACAGAGCTCTGGTAAGAGGCAAGCCAAGACTTAGAGGCTGCTAGCCCAGGAACACATGAACTCCGGTTGTAGGTCTGACTCCACAGCTCACCCCTCCCTACTGTGGACCATGACAGCACAGCCACGTGGTTGATAAATTAAGGCGGGACAAGAAAACTTGTAAACCTAAGATTCTCTGCCCATTTGAGCAACTACCTCCTCCCCTTTAGTGTGCATTGTGTGCCTGCATTATACGCTAACTAGATCCCCTTAGAAGACACAGGAATTCCTACTCACCAAAAAAAAAAAAAAAAGCTATTTCCTCCTGGTGCCAGCAAGGTGACTCCCTAGGAGTTAACATTCCTTTCTCAATCCTGTAAGGGGTCACAATAACCCACTGCTCACCTTGTTGGACTATGTAAACTGTCAATGTGTTACTTTGGTTTTGTTTTCTGGTCCATATTGGGAAATTTTTTAAAATTGGAGTATAGTTAATTTACAATGTCGTGTTAGTTTCAAGTGTGATCACAGCAAAGTGATTCATGTATATATTCTTTTCCATTATAGTTTATTACAAGATACTCAGTATAGTTCCCTGTGCTATAAAGTACGTCCTTGTTTACTTACTTTATATATGGTAGTGTGTATATGTTAATCCCAAACTCTTAATTTATCCCTCGCCGCCCCCCCCCCCCCCCCCGCCCACCCCGCAATATGTTACTTTGATGTATAACCCATTGTCTGAAAAACTTATGTAGGGCTTCCCTGGTGGCGCAGTGGTTAAGAATCCACCTGCCAATGCAGGGGACACGGGTTCAAGCCCTGGTCCGGGAAGATCCCACAAGCCGCGGAGCAACTAAGCCCGTGAGCCACAACTACTGAGACTGTGTGCCACAACTACTGAAGCCCGTGCACCCCAACAAAAGCCACTGCAGTGAGAAGCCTGTGCACCGCAAGCCTGTGTAGTCTCCACTCGCCACAACTAGAGAAAGCCCACGCGCAGCAACGAAGACCCAGTGCAGCCAAAAATAAATAAAATTAATTTTTAAAAAACAACTTATGTAACTGTGCCTTGACCTCTAACAGGTGGAACAGTCCTCAGAGTTTTCTGAAATACTGTCTCCCGGGTTATAGATATATAGAAAATATATATAGAGAGAAAATAAAATTTTCTATTTCTTTCTTAGATTGACTGTTGATCGATTTTCATTGATATGGTGATGGCCAACCCCTGACTTCATGGCCAGTCAACAGGCAGCTCTGGGATATGGATGGTCAGCAGTGCTGGCTAGTAGGTGTCACACCCTTCTGACAGATTTTTTTCATGCATTAAATACTTGGAGTACACACTAAGCTCTCTGCTGGACACAGGATATGAGGTGAGCCAAACAGGTGTGGTTCCTGCCCTCAGGGAGCCTACAGTCTAGTTAGTGAGCAAGCTTGTAAAACATGATAATCACTAAATAATCAACTATCACGCTATGGAGGAAAAGTATAGGAAGCTTGGGGAGCATATAATAGAAGGAGCGAAGTTAGATCGAGAAGGGATTTTTCTCAAATCCTCTTTGAGAAAATGGTGTTCAACTTAAGACCACAGCTAAGTTGTGTTAAGAAGGATGTGTGGGTAAGGAAGGGGAAAGAGCATGAGGGTAGGCTCCTGGGGCTGAAGCTTAGAATGGGGAGGGTGGTTAGTGGCGGGAGTGGGAGGCTGGATTATGAAGGACCTGTGGTCCACGGTAAGAAATTTGGGTCTTAAGAGCAGTGAAAGCCAAGCGCAGAGCTCTGGGCAGGAGATGATGTGAACTGATGTACACTCTAAGGAAATTGCTCTGGCCGCCTGGTGGAGAGAGGATGAGAGGGGAACACGTGTGGATGTGGGGAGAATGGCTCAGAGGCGAATTTGGTCCCCCAAGCGCTTGGGTGGCAGCAGTAGGCATAAAGAGAAAAGGATGAATTGGAGGCATATGTTGGAGGCAGAATCAATGTAGACCAGGTGTAGAGCAGGTGTAGACCAGAACTGGAGAACATGGCTGTAACAAAGGAGGAGAGAAGGTGGTAGATCACGTGTCACTTCTGATAGGAAGAATTCAGGAGAGGGAGCAGCTAAGTACTGCAAGTAAGCTCTCTAAGGAGAAGGGGAGAGGTGGCACCCAGGTACCCAGGGACTCTTCTAAGAAGCAAGTCAAGGAGTGCCTGAGAACCAACTGCCTGGGTTCAAATCCTGTCTCTGCCACTTATTAGCTCTGTAATCTTAGGCAAGTTACATGACATCTTAGAGTCTGTTTCTTCATCTGCAAAATGGGGATAAAATAGTAATTGTCTCAGAGGATTGTTTGAGAAGGTTAAAATATATGAAATATTTAAAGTAGTGCCCCACACATAATAAGGGCTGTTTAAGTGTTTGCTGTTATTATCTTTCAGAGAGGTTGTGGGGAGGAGAACAGGATGGATGCAAAAGAACGTAGGCTTGTAGATCTACTTTGGAGAAAAACGAGCCTACTCTCCTCTGATGGCATCTGTTTTCTCTATGAAGCACGAGGTTTGGGTGGCCAGTGGGTTGCGGATGGGCAGAGCCAGACAGTTATTCCCTCAGCATCTCCCTGTGGCGTGTAAAGAAGAACAAGCAGGAGAGGGCAGGTTCTCACGGTGACATGAAATTGACTCACTTTGGTACCAGGAAGGGCTGGGGCCGCACTCCCTTCCTGCAGATGGGCTGTTGGCAGCTCAGCCCAGGAACCTCTCCTCCCAGCCTTCTGCCTTCCATGGCCTCCTCCACTCCCTGCTGTGACATGTCTTCCTGGGCTTTTATGTCATTGGAATGTAGCTTTTCTTTCCGTGGTTAGAGTTCTGGTCTTTCCTGCTAATAGCGCTTAATGATTGATGGTGCAGCCTTGGCCTCTTGTAGTAATTTTTCAGGATCTTATTTACTTGTGACTTCGTGGAAGGGAAAGGTAATAGAAAAACTCCCTTTATACCAGAGGTTCTCAACCTTGGCTGTATATCCGAATAAACTGGAGAGCTTTAAAACATTCCCGTGCCCAGGCTGCATCCCAGACCAACTGAGTCAAAATCTCTGCGTGTAGGAGCCAGACATCAGTAGTTTTTAAATCTCTCCAGGTGATTCCAATGTACAGCAAGCAAAGGAGGCTTCGGTTGCACATGGGTCCCTCTACAGCTAAATGTCTACAACAGAGGAAAACAATTAGCAACTACTTAAGTGCCTCAATTCACATAAGCGTTCAGTTACTTAAGATTGGCTCAAGATTCTGTCCCTGCTTCTGTGATATAAGATCATGAAGATCATGCATATCTTAATCAAGATTCCATGCACACAGTGTAGGGCTGGGTCCAGGTGCCTATTACATAGTACATCGGGGGGTAGGTGTCAAGGGCAGCACACCTGTTTCATGCACCCCAAAGTCTCTTAAAAAAGGGGGAAAGCATCTCCTTAGCACACATATGAAGCAATGAAACTGCAGAAAAGAACCAATTATTGCATATTCTCAATGCTTTCACTTGTTTATATCTCTAGCTATGACACACATTAACTAGTCAGACTTGTTTTCTTTTGTTGTTTTTTGTTGATTTGTTTAGGTCAAAGACACTATATTTCAACCAACTGCCAATCAAACAGGACTGGATAACTTCCAAGCGGCACGGCTACTAACCCATTACTCACATGGACAGAGAGCTGGGACTCCTGAGAAGTTTGCATTGTGGGTCAGCTCTAGCTAAACCCAACCTATTCAGCTGAGACTCTCATGAAAACAGTGGCACATGAAAAGGCCTAAGGGCTGGGCAGCTTGAGGACAGGTCTGGCTCAGTCCCACACCTTGAGAAAATGAGAACTGGCCCAAGAAGGCACTAGTAATCAAGTCTGCTGTTTTGTACAAATTCTCTCAGCTGTCTGATCCTCATATCTTATTATTTTCTCAACTATGAAATAAAGCAAAGAGCCTTCATGATCGATGGCTCCTGTCTCAGGAGGCTCAGGCTTCTGTGCAGGCAGGGACCTATGCAATGCAACGTGAGAATTCAAAGATGATGGTGAGAATTCCACCGCCCACTTCCCACCCGCCTTCAATTCTGCTCTACTCTGCTGCCTACAACAGCACCATTACTGACATGCGGGGCCCTGGGGTGCTGCTGGTCCCTTTAAAATGCAAATCTATATATCAAGTCCCTTGTATCTTACTGTGGATATCAATAATCCTCTGGCGGGACTGATACAAGTGTGAGATAACCACACCTTTGGGGGCCTAAACAGACCGAAACTGAGCTAATATGTAGCCACTAGTTAACATCGGCTACTGAACACTTGAAAGGTGTTCAAATGGAGTCCAAATTGAGGTGTGCTGTCAGTATAAAATACCAGATTTTGAAGATTTAGTTTAAAAGACTCATTGATTTCATAAATTGATTACAAAGATATTTTGGATCTATTGGGCCAAATCAAATGTTATTAAAATCATTTCACCTGTTACTTTTATTGTTTTTAAACATGGCTACTAGAAAATTTTAAATCACATAATATGGCTTGTACTTGTGGCTCGTACCAAATCTCCCTTGGATGGGGCTGGTCGAAGACTAGACTGTTCCATGTGGTCCATTTTGGTGACGATCTAGGCTGGCACTCTCCCCATGGGCCTGGAGTACCCCTCCTTTGCTTCTCTATCCTTCCTCCTGCCTGTTATCTTCCAGACTTTAGCGCTCTTGTTTTGCAAACAAGAAAATTCCCCCAGAGAGATCAAAGGAATTGTCCGCGTCCTACAGGGAAGCTCACACAGTCCGGTGGCCATGAGATTTAAAGGGCACTGAGCACAGAAGTTGCCAAGCCCTTGGAAGGTACAGACGAGAAAGAGTACCTGGAAGTGAGGCCGGCTGACTCTCGCCTAAAGGAGACTAAACAAAAGAGGTCTGAGTGGTACAAGAAGGTTTCTAATCCCAGCCCCTGATTACAAGGAAGTATATGAGTTGCCCATAAAGTTGTATTACAAAACCACCAGGAAGTGAGCAATCTTGTTAGGTCCCTCTGTTTATTACTTATAACTTCAGGGAATTTCCAAATCTCCAGATTATTAGTTTGGGGAAACAGGAGAACTTTTTCTCTGTGAGAGAGCCTACTCAGAACCCATTTTGTAATTGTTGAAAATAAATAATACTTTATGATAATGGGCTGGAAATGCTCCAGCAGTCCTTGACCTAAGCCCCAGGCCCCAGCCCAAAGAGCAGACGCTGGTTCTGTCTTACCCAATCGGGATGATGGCCAGGAAGGAGAGAAAGGAGGAGAGTGCAAAGCAGGTGCCAACGAACTTCTCCATGGTGAGCTGATAGATCTTGTTGTACATGGTGGATGTCACCACCCCGGTCAGAGCCAGGGACAGCTGCAGGATGACAAACATCTTTCCTGTGGAAGGGACCGAGGTTACCAAGGTTACTAAGCTGTCCCTCCATGTTCCCTGAGAGCTGAGTCTCCGGGGGGCTCTCAGGAGACCCCTCACCCTCCCCAGACTCCCCCTGTCTTCCTGGCTCATTTTACAGGATTCTTGCCTCCACCCAGCTGACTCTTCCCGTGGCCCCTGGATGGCAGTATCTCCCTTTGACTGTGGCTTTTCAGCGGCTGACTTTCCGAGTCTTTCCCACCCTCCTGCTCTCACTCGCTCCACTCTGGTTGGACACCAGTGTGTTTCTAGTGTCTTCAAGGCTGCTTCTGGAACTCTCTCCTGTGCCTTCTGCCAGTCCAAACCCTGTGCCTCAAGCCGACTGGCTCTGAAACTGTCCACCCAGAGAGAACATCCGAGAAATTCCTTTCACTCACCATAAGAGGAGCCCTTGATGAGCTTGGACATTGCCGATCGGATGGTTGTGATGGGGATGAGAGCGAACAGCATGACGGCCCGAGCTGGAAAGGAATCACAGGAGAGCACTCCTCACTGTAGCCCAGCCTTGGCCAAAGAGTAAATTAGAATAGAGCAAAGGCCTCCCCTACCCCCTCTCCCACAATCCTATGTGGCCTTGAAGAAATGGTTTCTCTCCTGGCAGACTAGGAGCCCCCCCCCCCTCACCTCCTCCCCCTGCCCCGGGCAGGCTGATTCTCTGAGCACATTGCTGCAGACCCGTCTGCATGGTGCCAAGCACAGTGGTGACAGAGGGTGAAGGGTGTCTTTATTGGTAGAGTTGTTTCTAGGGAAGTGGAGCTGATGTCACTCAGAACTCCTTGCCTCCTGGGAGAGAGGTGTCTGCGCTTGCCGTTCATCGTCACCTCTGGGAGATGGTCCCAGGAGCTTTGGCAGACTGCATCTAGAAATGTGTGCCACTAACACACCTGCCACACACCCCTCCTTCCCTCAAGCCCTGTTCATTATCCCTTGGCGTGTGTGTGTGTGTGTGTGTGTGTGTGTGTGTGTGTGGTGGGGAGGGGGGACTCTGGCTCTTGCACACGGCCTGTTGAACTGGGAGCTGGCGAAAGCTAATCTTGCCATTTTGTGAGGGGTTTTTCTGAGTTGTGTGACCTCTGCCAAAGGACGGTCTCTGGGAACCATCTTGAGTTGTTCGAATATGTTAGCCACTAGCCAGCCACGTGACTATTAATTTAAATGAAATAGTATGAAAAATTCTGTTAAGTTGCACTGGCCACATTTCAAGGGCTTCATAGCCATACGTGGCTAATAGCTAGTGTATTAGGCAGAAAGATACAGAACATTTCTATCACTGCAGAAAGGTCTGTTGGAGCACGGGCCAGAGCTCTCTGCTTGTGGGCTGTCTTTGTCCTCAGATAGGAACTTCATTCTGCTTCCTTGAGGGAATGAATGTATTACATTGGTTGTGGAAGGCATTTATGGAGAATTTTTCTCTCTTTTTAAAAAGCTTGTGCTTGACCCAAAATGATTGAAATGATTTTAATTAAAGGACTTTTTCAGCTGGATTACTTAATGTTTTATCCCTTTAAAACTGGGGAGAAGAAACTCAACCCCATCTCCTCCACTCGAGGGCATCCTGAAGGCTCTCCTGCTGACTCCAGGCACCACTGACCAGCCCTCCCTTGACTTCCTAGAGCTTTGGGCACCACTCTGGTAACATTTCAGGGGCCACACAGGTAACAATACCGACAAACTCAAGTGCACATCATCCTGTCTCCCTTGTGTCTAACAGATAGCAGGTATAATCTCCGGTGCTGAGCTGGGACACCTAGACCACAGCATCCCTGGGGTCAGCCCCATGACTCGGGGGATGCGCAGTGTCCTTGTCCTGCCTCCCCAAGAATGCCAGACTCACCAATGTAGAACATGTATGTCTCTTTCACAAAAGCCAAGAGAAGGGCTCCAGACGCAAAGGAGACCATTCCAATCATGATCATGGTGGTGTCCTGGAAGTAGCGGGAGAAGACCAAGACGCCCAAGAAGCTGGTGATGAAGATGGTGTACCCTGAAGCCATACCATAGCCCAGCTGCACCTGGTTCCAACTCAGAGGCTCCCTCAGCACAAAAAGGGGCATCATGTCCACTGTGCCCACCACTGCCAGGTCATATATGATGGCACCCACAAAGAGCAGAGCAATAATGGTTTTCTTGGGCTTTGCTTTTGCAGGAGATGAAGGGTGCCTTAGCACACACTGCTTGTCTGTCGGATCAGGATCCAGGGTGTTATCGGTGCAGACTGTGCCAGACACCGTATCCATAGCCTTGCTGGGCTTGGCCGTGGACTCAGGGACCTTCAGCACGAAGAGGCTGTAGAAAAGGGCACAGGTGGCACAGCTCACGCTGAAGGCGGTCAGCACCAGGCCCTGGCTGGAGTGCCCGACTAGCTGCTTGAAGAGGTGCCCCGAGATCATGCTCCCACAGAATCCCGCCAAGCCCAGGATCAAGTCGATCACGATGAGGCGCAGGGAGCGGCGGCCCTCCGAGGAGCCGAGGGATCCCAGGGCCATGACCCCCGACCAGAACGCTGAGAAGCCACCGCACAGCCCGTTCAGCGCTGCCGCCCCGTAGAGCATCTCCACGGGCCAGTCCAGCAGCACCTTGAGCAGCAGCGCGAGGCGGCAGAGCATGAAGCCCAGCAGAGACATGCAGATGGAGATCTTGCGGTGGTAGCGGTCGCTGAGCCAGCCCAGCCCATAGGCCGACAGCAGGGGTGTCAGGCCCAACACAAGGTTGTAGATGATGTAGAAGTTGGAGATGGCCCTCTGCTGTTGGTTCTCTAGAGCCCCCAGGGTAGACAGGCTAGCGCTGTGGTTGGACAAGACCTCGCCTCCGAAGGACGCCTTCACCACGAGGAGCAGCCCCGCGTCGTAGAGGGAGGCGGCCATCTGGGTGGAGGCCACCACGGGCTCGATCCAGGTCGACACCTGGGGGCGGGACAGGGGGCCCCTGCACGGGCAGGTGGTCCCCAGGCCCATGTCGTCTCTCTGATGGGGGATGGAGGGAGGGGCTTGCCCGCTGCTGCTGGCGCAGCTGCTCCCGGGAGGGCGGGGGCGCAGCCCGGGTGCGCGCGGGGCAACCTGCGAGCCGAGGTGAGGCAGGCGCAGGGCGCAAGTGACAGCAGCCACCGGGGCGGCCCAGTGACCTCCGGGACCACGGCCACGCCTACCCGGACCAAAAAGGGCCACGCTCCGCCCCCGGCGGCGGAGCAGGACTGGCGGCGGCCCAGGGAAGCGAGGCGCGGGGGAGCGCGCGGCGAGTCTGGAGTCCGGCTGCAGCCCAGGGAAGCGAGGCGCGGGGGAGCGCGCGGTGAGTCTGGAGTCCGGCTGCGCCCCCGCGTCACGCTGCTCCGGGCAGCGCGGCCGCCTGAAGGGCCGATTTCCGCACGGCCGGGCGTGCCTGGACCTCCCGCAGGTCGCTGGGCACCTTCCCCTGGGACTTGGCCCCCCCAAGGCAGGGGGCAAAATTCTGTACCTGGAAGGGAGTTTGGGGCAAGCCGTGAGGTGCCTGGGATCAGCGTGTTGGCGGCGGTGGGGGTGGGGGGTGGTGAGGTTTTATTTTGGGGTTTAAAAGTGACGGGGACCTATGTGCTGTGGGGAGCTGGGTAGCAGAGACTTTGAGAGAAATTTTAAAAACTCAGGAGCCCTAGTATCTCTTTGAGGTGCTGATTTCAATTCTTTTGGATACCGACCCCGCAGTGGGATTGCTAGATCATAGCGCTGCTTTTATTTTTTTGAGGAAACTTCGTTGTTTTCCATAGAAGCTGCCCATTTTCCTTTCACAGCACCAGTGCACAAGGGTTCCAATGTCTCACATCCTCACCAACACTTACCTATTCTGATAAATAGCCATCTTGACAGGTGTGGGGTGATACCTCAGTGTGGTTTTGATTTGCATTTCCCTGATGATTAGCTTATCTTTTCATATGCTTCTTGGCCATTTGTATATCTTCTTTGGAGAAATGTCTATCCACGTCCTTAGCCCATGTTTGTTTTACAACTGAATTGTAGGAATTCTTATATATGTTGGAGATTAACTCCCTTTCAGAGATATGATGTGCCATATTTTCTCCCATTCTGTAGGTTGCCTTTTCACTCTGTTGATTTTTTTTATTTTGCAGTGCAGAAGCTTTTTAGTTTGATGTAGTCCCACTTGTTTATTTTTAGGTTCTTTTTTTAAAATACATAAATCTATTTATTTATTTTTGGCTGCATTGGGTCTTTGTTGCTGCGCACGGGCTTTCTCTAGTTGTGGCGAGTGGGGGCTACTCTTCGTTGCGGTGCACGGGCTTGTCATTGAGGTGGCTTCCCTTGTTGCAGAGCATGGGCTCTAGGTGCGCAGGCTTCAGTAGTTGTGGCATGCAGGCTCAGTAGTTGTGGCTCGTGGGCTCAGTAGTTGTGGCTTGCGGGCTCTAGAGCACAGGCTCAGTAGTTGTGGTGCACGGGCTTAGTTGCTCCACGGCATGTGGGATCTTCCCGGACCAGGGCTCGAACCCATGTCCCCTGCATTGGCAGGTGGATTCTTAACCACTGCACCACCAGGGAAGTCCTAGTTGTAGGTTCTTGAAGAGAGATTAGTACTCCTGTGTTCGTTGCAGCACTATTCACAGTAGCCAAGATGTGGAAGCAACCTAAATGTCCACTGATGGATGAACGGAAAAAGAACATGTGGTATATAAATACAAGTGAATGTTATTCAGCCTTTAAAAAGAAGGAAATCCTGAGATTTGTGTCAGCATGGATCAACCTTGAGGACATTATGCTAAGTGAAATAAACCTGTTGTAGAAAGACAAATGCTACATGATTTCCCATATGAGGTATCTAAAATTGTCAGATTCATAGAGTGGAATGGTGGTTGCCAGGGATTGGGGGCGGAGGGAGGGAGAAATGGGGAATTACTAGTCAAGTAGCATAAAGTTTCAGCCAAGCTAAATGAAGAAGCTCCAGAGATCTGCCGTACAACGTTGTATTTACAGTCAGTAACACTATATACACTTAAAAATTTGTTAAGAGGGAAGCTCTCATGTTAAGTGTTCTTACCACAATTCAACAACAACAACAACAAAAAACAAACAAAAACCCCAAACAAGACCCTCAGGAGCAGCTAGGCTCAGCCCTTCCTCCAAGACAAAGGCCTCTTGGAGAAGAGTCCTTCCTTGAGCACCTGAATTAAAGGGCCAGGAGCCAGCACAGGACCCAAGCCAGCGTGGGTCCCAGCCTGGAGGCTTTGTCCTTAAACCCCAGCGCCAAGGGAGAGAGGGGGAGGTCCTGCCAGCCCTGTGTGTCCCTGCAGATGCTAAAATTGGACTCTTGCAGGGTGTAGATCCCACAAGAACAGCCAGGATCATTTGCTGCCCCAGGACCCTTTCTATTTCTTTGCAGTTGTTCTTCTTCTGTCTCACGGGCTCACTGCCTTGGACTAGGTGGAGACCGGTTTCCCTGGCTGGCTTGCTTCCTCTAAGTACACACTCCTGCAGAGAGGACCTTCTTCTGACTTGAGTCTCCCTTGTATGACTTTAGGTTCCTGCTCACCAGGGCTGCCGTGCCTGTGTCGGGGTCGAGCAGACAGGGAGAGAGGTGGAGCGTTTGTTTTGACTTTCCATTGGGGTGGGGAGCGGGGGAGGCAGAAAAGAGGCATGGGGAAGTGAGACTCGGGTCTGCTGGTGAGAACAGGAACCCCCGTGTCAGTGTGGTCAGAGGAACTTTAGAAGAATAGGAAGGTCCAATAGGGCTCTAAACAGCTTGCTGTCTCGTGTGTATATGAATCCTTCCTGAGACCTCACCCTACCTCCTTGGTTCTTTAAGAAAAGTCTACTCATGAGTGTTTCGTGTAAGTGGGATCTTTTATTTTTTTAATTTGGTGGAAGCTGGTGAATAATCTGTGATTCATGTCTGGATTAACGTAACTCTGGGCAGAGATCATGAGCAAGCAGAAGGAGAGGAGACCACAAGAACACCAGTCTCCCAGGGACTTGCTGAAATCTGGGACGGGCTTGGGAATGTCCCAGGCTGTGGACTTGGGTGGTTAAGCCATCTGACCCAGATCCTGAGGGCCAGGGAGACCCTCGCTGCTGATGCAGCCTACACTGATGGGAAAAGTGTTCTTCTCTATTGTTGGTATTTTAGGGGCTGAGGTGAGCCTTTTCCCAAGACATTACAAGTGAAGGAAAGAAGATGCCCTCCAAGACATAAATATATAATGAACAAAGCAAAGATATACAAACTCATCCTAGGAGACAGAGATAAACCTTGTCAGTGACCATCCAAGAACTTTCTTTCTAGGGTTTCCCAATGGCTGGCCCATCGCTACATGCAGGGGCCACCCCAAGTTCCCTTGCCTGAGCACAAGCAATCTTCTAGTTGTGATTTTACTTCCCAATAGAGCTGAGCGCAGGAAGAAAATGTGCTAGTTACGCGAATACTCCAAATAATTTCTCATGGTAAGTTAATACATTAGCATTCTGATTTCTCTGCCTTTCTAATTTGGTTAACGTAGGCCTCTGTCTGGGAAATGACTTCCCTCTCCGAGTGCTGATGAAGTTTTTTATTCTGTCAGGCTGAGAGCTACGCCTCATTTATAATAAGCTATCAAAATAATGAATGCCACCCATGGATCTTCTTGGGAAATTGTTTCACTGGCTACTCCTCCTCAGGGTGGCACCCTAACATTGCCCAATTTTATAGGTGAGGAAACAGACTTAGGGTGGCTAAATCATTTGCATGAGGTCACACAGAGCCAGAATTCACATCTTGGTTTGTGTGACTTGAGAGTCCATGCTATTTTCACAATGCTCCATTTCTGACATAATTGAAGAGATACATTTTCAAAATGCATTTTTGTGTTCAAAACTTTGTCAAAGTCTATTCCTAAGGTATTTTCAAACTCAGTGACTCATTTGTTCATTCATCATCCACTCATCTACCATCCATCCATCATTCACAAGCATTTTTTGAGTATCAGGCTCACTACTTGGTACCAGGGATACAAAATCCTTTGCCCTCAAGGATCTTTCAAGTCTGAAGAGTTATCAAGAGGCACTGTACAAACACTCCAAGTTCTGTTTTACACCTGCAGTCACTGACGCCAGGCCATGCCTCCTCTTTCAAACATTCTGGCTTAATGGGATTCCTGTCTACCCCAAGCTCTGCTCCCAACATGAATGGCCTCATGAACAACCTGCTCAACACTGTAGAAGAAGTAAGACATCTGTTTTTACTGGCCAGGATACATTGATTCTTCTTCTGGTAAGAACACCCCATTTTTCCTCTGATGAACCATCTTCCAAGTGGAAATGAGACTCAGGTCTGGCCAATCACAGCACTGAGTGCCTGTGATGACAGTGATTGGTTTGGAGATGGAAATGTGACCCAAATTTGAACCAGTAAGAATGAGGCGCAGGACTCTGACTTAAATAGTTAGGGAGGAGACACTTACTCTTCTCTGCTCATCTTAGACTGCTGAGGATGAAAGCCTGGAGTTACTGGTAGCCGTTTTGCTCCCCCTAGAGCAGAGCTTGCCTGAGATCTCCCTATAGAGGACAGCAGAGCTGAAAGATGGAGAGTCAGATCCTGATCACATCCTATGAGCTCTGCCTGAAGCTAAACTACCTCTTCACCTTTTTTTTTCTTTTTTTTTAACATCCTTATTGGAGTATAATTGCTTTACAATGGTGTCTTAGTTTCAGCTGTATAACAAAGTGAGTCAGCTATACATATACATATATCCCCATATCCCCTCCCTCTTGTGTCTCCTTCCCACCCTCCCTATCCCACCCCTCTAGGTGGTCACAAAGCACCAAGCTGATCTTCCTGTGAGATGCAGCTGCTTCCCACTAGCTATCTATTTTACATTTGGTAGTGTATATAGATCAATGCTATTCTCTCACTTCGTCCCAGCTTACCCTTTCCCCTCCCCGTGTCCTCAAGTTCATTCTCTACGTCTGCATCTTTATTCCTGTCCTGCCCCTAGGTTCTTCAGAACCTTTTTTTTTTTTGGATTCCATATATATGTGTTAGCATACGGTATTAGTTTTTCTCTTTCTGACTTACTTCACTCTGTACGACAGACTCTAGGTCCGTCCACCTCACTACAAATAACTCAATTTCGTTTCCTTTT